CCGGAAAAACCGTAGCAGGAAGCTAGCGAAGTCGTAGTATATATCGTCACAAACAGAACTGCCCGGTAAACCGTAGGCAGAGAGAGAGAAGAGGATATTGTCAACCAGAGCTGCCCGGTAAACCGTAGGCAGAGAGGGGGAAGAGGACAACAAACAAGGGGCTGTGACAAACTGTTTCGTCGGAGTTTCACCGACTCATCAGGAGGCTATATATGTATATATATATATATACATACATACCAACAGGCCTCGCTCAGTTGGTACTACCATATACACTGGAGATACAGATGCATGTTCCAATGCAGCTACGATCAGATGAACAAAAAATGAAATAATTCGGAATTACCTGGGGCCGGTCAGTTCAACGATGATATCTCGAGGCCATCACCCTGTCATATGAAAATTCAAAATAGAGAAAAAAATTCAAAAAGTATAAATTCTTACCTGCTATGCTTATCGTCAAGTCAATGCGAACAGCGTCCTTCGGACACGGTATCCTGAGATGCTGGGTTGGCTGACACCGACGAACGTGAATGATGTATGCTTCCGGGGGAACTGGCGTAGGAGTCGGAGTACTTTTGCGCAGATGGTGCTCCTCGCCGAACGGCCTTCCTGATCCTTTCTAATTCGTTGTTGATCTCATGTATGGTCGGCCGATGTATGCCTGATGGTTCACAGCAACGAATCGCACAATCTGCGATTGCCCATGCAGCCTCTAAGTCTGCTTGAAGGCTTCCTTTAGATCCAAGCCCTGTTTTTGATGATGGCCTAAGAGTGGGGTCCAGCACCTTCTCGATTGCGTCTTGCTCGAGCAATGGCCGGACCTGAAAAGAGTTTAGAAAACAAAACAGAAAAAGTAAAAAAGCCACAAGTTAATGTCAAAAAACTTCTGCGCAAGGACGACACGCATATTAAAAAAAAAAAAAAGGAAAAAAAAAGCCTTATATAATTTATATTATTTATATAAGATCAAAGTGCGAGGCTACGCCCGCTTAGCCCCTACGGGGCCCTATCTGCAACAAGGTCGGCCGCCCTAAGTGAAGGCAGGCACGACAGGCCCTTCGGGCCTC